CTGTGCCACTGGGCACCACTGGAAGCCCTGAGATCACTGGAGACCTCAGAGCAGCCCCCAGTGTCTGAAGGGGGCTACAGGGATGCTGGAGAGGGACTTTCATCAGGGACTGGAGTGACAGGACAAGGGGGGATGGGTTCAAACTGAAATAGGGGAAGCTCAGGTTAGATACAAGTCAGAAGCTCTTCCCTGTGAGGTTGCTGAGGCGCTGGCACAGGGTGCCCAGAGAAGCTGTGGCTGCCCCATCCCTGGCAGTGTTCAAGGCCAGGTTGGACACAGGGGCTTGGAGCAACCTGCTCTAGTGGAAGGTGTCCCTGCCCATGGCAGGGATTGGAGCTGGAGGAGCTTTAAGGTCCCTTCAACCCAAACCATTCCCTGATAGTATGAAACTGGGCACTAGTGATCCCAGCAAGCCCTGGCTTTCCTCAGCTGCTTCTTGTACATGTCTCTACTGGGCTGTTGTGTTCCCCTTTTCGTCTGGGGGTTAAAACAGTTCCAGCATCTCCTTTAATTACTTTGTGGGCTGGATTTTTCCACTGGACTTGCTGTTTCCTGCTGCAGGAGCCGGGGCAGAGCTCTTGGTGGGTTTGCTCATCCATAGGGCTTTATTTTGCCAAGGGAGCTTTCTCTTGGAGAGGCAGAGGGTGGCGGGGAGGCAGAGGAGCGAGAAAGTTTGCCTTCTCCTCTTGTAAACGCAGGGCTGGGCAATGTTTGAGGTGTTCTAAATAGAGCCGACTCTTTGCTGTGGAAGAAAAAAGCAAGTTGTAAAGGAACTCAGTGGGTTTTGTGTTTGTCCCGGGGTGTTTTGCAGGGTGGAGGCTGCGGGTCCTCGGCTTAATTCCCCATTTGGAAGGATTTAAAGGCTAAAGAGCAGAATGTAAAAGTCAGGGATGTCAACTCCCATGGGCAAGCTGCTGTTTAGCAGACAATGACACTGACTTGGGACTCCCACGTCCATGGGACAGGCAGACAAGGACCCTCCGGGTGGGCTGTGCTGCACGTCTGGCTTCCGAGGTGCCCGTTTCTCATTCATTTTGCTGCTGATGCTGGACAAACCCCTCCTTTTTCTTCTTTCCCACCCATCTCCCACCCCTCAGCCTGCAGCAAGGCCACAGTGCAGAGCAGCCCATGCCCCTGCCCAGCTCGTCACCTGCTGCTCACCAAACCTCTCCCCATCTTCTGTGCTCCTCAAGTTCTCCAGGCTCATCCCGGCCAAACAGCCTGGCTGCATGGTGGAACATGCTCCAGCTGCCGGCAGGAATGTTCCCAGGGTGATGCTGCAGGGAAATGTGGATTTGGGTGGGAAGCTCCCTCTCCAGGCATTTGGGATGCATTTGGGTTTTCGGGATGGTGTGGGCTGACTGGCAGCCGGCAGGTTCGTCTGAGGATCCCCAGTGTGGTCTAGCAAGGGAAGGACACTCCCATTTCCCTGTTTGCTGCAAGTTCTGGAGCTGAGTGGATGAGGTGAAGGAATGGTGGGATTTGAGGAGGGATATGAGGATCTGGGAGCGGCCTCACAGCCCTCCCTTGCTCCTCTCCCACTCCCAGCTGGAAAAGAGAAGCCCTCTTCATCGTGCCTTTCTTCCCGCTCTGTGTACACATACCAAAGCTGCCTCTCCCCACAGCCGCCCTCCTGCTGCAGTGCCTGCTTTAAACAATAGGCCTTTCATTCCCAAAGAGCTTCCACCACACGCAGCCCTCCGGTGGGCTCCGGGCAGCCAGGGGAAGTCGGGATTGTTGGGAAGGAACAAGCGGAAGGAAGCGGGAAGCCCCCGTGTGTCCATGCTCTGGAAAGGGAAGCTGCAGAAAGCGCAGAGCATGGTTTGGGAGCAGCCCTTTGGTGTGTGTGTATCTCATCCCTTGGGATTAGTTCTCCTGTGGCTGGAGCAGGCTGGATGGGGTGCTCTGGGTGATGCTCTCCCCAGTGGGA